CTTTTTAACCATATAAAATAGTGTTCTTAAAATTGCTGGATAGAATTATCATTAAACAACCAATATACTCAACTCTGTTGAAACAGATGAATTGATGAAAACATATTAAAGTAGTAGGATAAGGAAAATTTTTTTTAGATTGTTAGGAAGCACAGGTAAACTTGTGAACACTGACCACACAGTTGATCCGAAGAACGCTCTTTTGAGAGAATTTGAAACATTTTATTAACTTTAGTTATATCGTCTTCAAAGTTGATGTTTACGCAAAGCACCTATTTTAGCCATCAGAAAACTAGTTTGATATATGAAAATTATATTTGAAATAATCGTAGTGATTGAAGTTTAACTAATTCTCACGTTTCGTCTAGCAAAGGTGTCTGGATTTCTCCCCTGAAGACGTCCAGACAAGTTTGCTAGGCAAAAGTTGGAACTACTTAAACTTCAATCACTGAGATTATTTCTAATATAATTTCCAAATATTATGTCTTTTCTATACTGGGATCCCAATTTTTATCAAACTATTCATTCTAATATTGAAGAGTATTCGTACTTTTCTTAAAAAACGGTTTTTTAAACCACTTCTTGATATAAGTTTCAGTGGGAGTTTGGTATCTGATTTCATAAGAGACTATGACTTTGTTGTTCATGAAAAAAGATGATGCCATTTAATCTGTGTCGAATATTTAAATTATGTGTGTTAGCGGGAAAGAGATTGAATCGAGGCATGTTTCGTGCCAAATTGCGCTGTGGCACGTTGATTGGCCACTTCTGAGTCAATTGGAGCTAATAGATATTTGGACAAGACTGCGGAATATTGTTGCATAAAACTCATAAATATGCTGACGTTTTTCTTATTGTGATTCTATGATGCTTAGAAGTATTTGAATCATAGTATAAACTAGTAATCTCGGTAATAACGCAATTTTATCAAGAGGAATTAAATGAGCACGAACGAATGTACTGTATTTGGAATTCAAAATCAAAACAGTCATCAACACAAAAGAATCATCGGTTCATTCAAACACCACATCCGCAACATCTTAAATGAGGACCCAGATTTCTTTAATCAATCGTGCCTTTTCTCTTTAGGTTCACCACGTGTCTGCCCGACTGTGTAATAGATGTAGACTCTGTACATTCTAAAATATACTCATTGGTATTAGAATTAACAACCGAAATTGGAACAGATTCACCTGATTCCTGGAATTGCATACGATCATCATGTGTGTTGTGTAGTGAAACCACTGATATCTATATTTGAAACATAGACTTTACAACTTTATCCTCCCCCAAGAAATAATGTTAGGTTCTTACGTCGCAATATTTTAACCAATTCGACGTTCCTAATTTGCATTATTTTCTTATAACTCACGCTTCTATTATTAGATGTGAGTATTTGGGAATAAAAACGGACATGTTATTTGAGGCATTCCATTATGTGACTTTGACGTGCAGAAATATTACGATACATATTCTAATTGTTATTCATCTTGGAATACACCGGTAAATATGCATTGATACGTGTAATTAACACATTTGATTCATCTAGGCTTGATTCATCTGCGAGACAATCAAATTGAAAACATGCATCTGCTTCAGACTCATTAGGACAATCTTGAACTTGATTTGCATTTTCTACCTGTGCAAACTTCATATCTGGGTAAACTGGTTTTCTGATTGCTTCGGGAAAACTTGCTATTACCTCTAATCCACCGTACCACTAACTAGGGATTGTACTCGACACACACAAAACAGTCATCAATACAAAAGAATCATTGGTTCATTCAAACCCTACAGATTGCTACTTCCATTCAACCGGTGGAGTAAAATTACGTTCCTATCTAGCCATGTTCTGATTTAAGGACTTGTTGAGTGAAGTAAGGTGTCCGAAAAATACTAAGCAATAGGATTAGCTGGGTCGTAATAAGAGAGATCATAGAATATGCAGTTAAGTTGTAAGGATAATGTACTTACCATTCTTAACTTTCAATTTCTCAGGGATTCTAACATGCCCTGTTTGTTACTAATTTCTTTTGCTATATAGAGCAAGTCACAAATCTACGTGACTGCTAGTTTAACGTTGAAATTGTACTATAATACATATGTACACTTATTTTGATGACAAACAAATCTTTGATCATATGCTCACTAGTGACTGGTTGTATGAGGTAATTCCTGGAGCTCTAGTGAGAAGTCGTGGCCAGTGGAGCTAATCCATGTCAGGTAGAGACAAGTATCTACCTCAGTACATTGGAAGTTGGTCATGCAATTTCGTGGATTGTTTGAGGTTAGACATTAACACCGTTGGATGCCGGCTCAGTGGTCTATCGGTTAAGTGCTCTAGTGCGAGACTGGTAGGTCCTGGGTTCGAATCCCGCGAGGCGGGGTCGTGGATGCGCACTGCTGAGGAGTCCCACAATAGGACGAAACGGCCGTCCAGTGCTTCCAGGTTTTCCACGGTAGTCTAGCTGCAATTGGCTCATGAACGTAACTATAAAATTTGAAATAATCATTTGCATTTTGTTAAACGCAAACAAAAAGCTATCAGACGACTTATGGACTTAGTGAAGTGTACTTGGAAGAAAAATACCAAGACAGTGCTGGAGTAAAGTTCGGTCTTAGTACATTTGATGAAGTGAATAGTATGATTAGCACTTAATAGACATTCTGTCATGTAGTATCATATAATTCCCTAACTTGGTTAGAATGGGCATCGCGTAATGAATTGACAAAGCTAAAAAACATCACTTTATCCGATATTGTTTGGTTATCACTTTGATCTAAAAATCCGACAAAAAGTTGACCGACAGTGTAATGTCGGTTAATATGTTAATCGCATATAAGTCATCCTAACTTCTGAATAGGTCAATTTATCCATTCCTCTTGAGTCACGTTTTGACCTTGTTAATTATTCACTTATCAATCCTAAGTATTTTCATATGGGCGTGTGTGTGTGTGTACGTTTCTTATCCCATTCATCACATGTCTGTAACCTATTTTTACCTGGCAATGAATATTGATTAACTCCTGATTAAATGAAGTTGGTTGACACGCTTTTTCCACCGCGCGTCCTTTCACTTCGATCTCTTTTATTCACTTCATCCCTCTCATTTCCTGTCCAGATCAGTGAGCGTACAAAATATATGTATTCAAAAATCCATTCTCGTATTTGACTTATTCAATTCCGTTATTCAACAACATGATTTAAGCCAATGAAATATACGAGGGTAGCTGACATGTATATTTCGATGACAATCAGCATCCAATCCATTTGGAATCAGATCCCGGGCCACAAAAAGATAAATAATAAAGCTATTCTTGAGCACTCCTCTAACAGACTAAAAGTTTAATTTATTTGTTACACTTAGCATAGTTATTCGGGGATTGTGGTTGATATTCTATTATGCATTTTATTTGTTTTTAAAATTATATACATGACTTCCAACAAGAGCAATACGATGTTTTGACGAATTTTGCTTATTTGTGATATTTACTTTGAGGTACTCAGAAAAAGTGTGTTTAATATAAATAAACAACAAATAACAACAACTATCGATACTTCAAAATATAAACGTCAATATAGTCATAATTATTGAGTACATATGAACCAATATAATGGACAGCTTGCTCAATAAAAATAACAAACATGTTTCTTATCATTTTGGCTCAGTGAATTAATACCTTAAGTAATAATTTTTTTAACACAAATCAGAAGATAAATATTTTGGCCAGATAAGTTTTTGAGCTGATGTTTATTTACAAGGAAATTTTTGTTATACAGCTAGCTAATTATATAATTAGCTAAGAAGAATCATCAGTGATGTTTATCTACCAATGGCATATTATTCTGTTCACAGTGTTATACATCATAGCTGTATACATAAAAGAATAATCTAAATATAGGGTCATTTCTAGTCACATGTCAATGCAAATTTTAATAACTATGGCAAAGTATAGCGAAAAAAATAATCAATTACATGATGAAGACTAATCAAACACCAATCAAAAGCTTAATTAGTTGATTTCTATTCTCAATTGAAGCCGCAGATCGGTTTTTGCACAGATTTCACACAATCTAAAGTTAATCTTAATTCATTTCTCATTAAATAAACTCATTATGAAATTATTGAAACATTTATTCTTTGCTAGTTCAACAATATATAATCAAGCTGTTCATTTAAAGCTTCTAACTATTTACACGTGATGTAATCAACAAAAATAAACAGAATCTTTAAAAGAACACCAACTGATGTTAAACAAATAGTTTATTTGAAGTTCCATTCATGGTGTCCTCTTTGAATACTATAGCAGTAGGTGGTTTATATTTTTACAGAGTTTGGTTACAAAAATTTCTGAAAGACACTGTACTTTTTATCAGGTTAGACTGAAACTGATTTTATTCCAAATATATCAAGTAAACATGTTACTTGAAATGATTCACAATACTAGAAAATATTTTTACGAAGCAGTGTTTTATCTGGGAATCGGAAATTGTTATATCCTAGCGAAGACATAAGTATGGGTAACTTCTGGGACCTATTAATGGACGATTATTATATATATATATATTCTTATTGTTTAACTACTAAGTAACTAGGTTGTGTATATCTATATTCATTTTATTATAAGCTTCATTTTGATCTATGAATTATTGCTATACGGTTTACTATCCCTAAATTATATTCAGTTTATTGATTATTGTATTCTAAGTTCACAGCCACATTTGACTTGATCTTGTACAAATATTATTTTCTATTTTATGGTGCGATGTGGTCTGTCTGTCTGGTATATAAACAGAGTATGCTTGAAATAAATGATTCGTATTGCAGAAGCGTCATTGGTGTTCTGGACTCAATTGGGAGGGCTAGGCGGGCAAAGGACCAATAAGGACGCCAGATTACTAATACTGCTTGAACGTCATTGATTTGTCACAGTGTTAAGATCGGAGAAGTTGTATTTCGATTGGTAGATAATTCACGTGATAAAAGCCGGACATAAAATCGTAACGAATTGCCATACTTCTATTTTTTATAAAGTTTTAACAGAAATGATACATTCTAAATATTTCAAAACAGTAATATCAACATTTCCACAGTACTCACAAGCACAAGACTAACCATAATTAATGTGTAATGAAGCTAAGAACAACTTTATTGCTACCATAAACTGTCCAACGTTTAATAATATTTGCATTTGCTCAACAAATGAAAGAATCAAAAAAAAACTTTTAAAACTGTATGTCAATGGAGTTTGATAGAATTAGATTTAGGTAAGTAACAAGTCGTTCTGAATTACTCTCACTGTAAACAAATATGAAAGATAAGAAAAAATTAGTTTATGAAGCTCTCCAAATACCAACTACAGCACATGTTAAACGTTTACCGGAATTGCCTGTCTTGCGACTGCCCTCGTCATACATTTTGCCTAAATCATCTTCTTTCTCATGGATAACCAGTGCTCTTCCAACAAATACATCAAATTTAGTAATAGAAGAAATATCAACATCGAAATCAAAATTCAAAACACCATATTGATCTACATAATGATTTCCAAAATCTCCAGGATGTCTTGGTGAGCCTGTTAGTCCACCATGATCACTGAAAATTGTTACATAATAACTTTAGTATAAGTAAGCAACAATGTTAAATACTTCGACAAATACTTATAATAACCATCATCCACTTGTAATTAGTTTATTTTCAGATTTAATAATGTTCATTTATTTCTCTTCGCTTGTTTTCAATAACAAATTGGTTAAATCATTTATGCCATTATTCTAAACATTAACTTACTGAAATTAAGATATTAAAATTCCTCTGATTTGCCTCATCTGGGATAGAAAATCATTTTTATAAGAAGTATATTAGATACTTTATAGTATTGTTTAGATAACTGTCTACTGTAGGATAACAATCGTTTAAATCTAAATCTATAAACAATTCATCAGAATTTATTTTATCCACTGAAGATGAAGTTACTTTTGAACTTATGAAAGACACCTCAAACTAAAACAATAAATTCCACAATGTCAACTTTATTCTGAAATGTGGATGTTTTTTCACCTATTCTCCGTTTCTTTAATTATTGAGTATCTTCAAAAATTACGAGATGAAATAATGATATCATGATTATCATTGGTCTACATTGGTCTATCATAAACAATACACATCATCCAGTTCAAATAATTTTTTGGAAGCCTATACTAAGAAATAATGATTGAAATAATTCGACAAACAAATCAGTGGTTCAGGCTAAATAACTTATTCAGTATAGATATTTATCCTTGTCAATAGAAATGAGCCATTTCTTTTCAAATTTTTAATTCAGTCAATAGTTGTTTGAACTCGATGATATTGTCATCTGAGTTATCCAAGTCAATATTTTGATGATGTCTACAGAGATGATATGTTCTTTTGGAAATACATTCTGATAAAAAGTTTGCGAGCAAACATGGATAGTGGATAGCACTGGAATCCAGGACGCAACTTTCATCTTATTTGGGACTCGTCAGCTGGACGTACCTTCATCTCAGAGTTGATGTTCACCCTGGGACTCGAACTCAGTACCTTTCGCTTCAAACGCCATCGCGTTATCCACTCAGCTACTGAGTCCCGATAGCCACCCGCTTGTGCAATGGAGTGAAGTTTTAAATCCACTCGATGTTGTTTACTTGTATCTTCCCATTGTTGTTTAGGATTGCGATTGCTCAGCCTCTTATTGGCACATGTGCATTTTTACTTATAAAGCTTGTGAATTAAGGCAATATCGTCGCAGTCCGCACAAGATGCACATATGCCAATAAGAGACTGACCAATCGCAGTTCTAAATAACAATGGGGAGATACAAGTAAACAAGATCGATTGGATTTAACAAGTTTGTAGTTATGATTTTTCACGTAGACTTTGTTAAATAATTTTTCAATTTAATGTTTACCTGTTGAACGGATTAAAATGTGGTCCAGCATCATTACATTCATTACCTAATGCACCATATTCATGTATATGAACACCCAACAATCTTTTTGGCGGCAAACCTGACACAGATCCAGTTACTCTGAGATTTGAGCGATGTTTTGTGAAATACACAGTTCCAAAATATGGTGGCGTAACAAAAGTCGCTACACTGAAAACAGTCTGGAAGCATTGAGGAGTTCCTAAAAATAAATATTATATGTAGAACTTAATTTGTCCTACAGATATACTATTAGAACTTTAAACGCGATACTGGCGATCCCAGAGTCTATGTGAAAGCTATAGTCAGAATGAGGACAACTTGGCTTTAAACTTTATCTCTTTCTAAGCATAAAAACAATTAAATTAGAACAATAATTAAACAATTACAGTCATTAGAAGGAACGCACAAATGTAAAGACCAGTATTGCGTGTTTTATCGAAATGAATAAAAATTATGAGTCACATCAATACTTTAGGATAATAATGTCTTTAAATTGGTAGGTCACATGCAACAGGGATAGTTTACAGACAGGTCGGACCAGATTACCGTGGTCGGAGCTTAATCAACGATTTGATTGGTTAGTTATGAACATACATTATGTATATAATAATCCGATAAAGCATTTTCAGCCACAGTTTGTTTATTTTAACCATAGGATTTGTTCGTTTGAACCAGTAATACTTACATAAATCCAAAAGTAATTCATCAATATTAACCTGATATTTCATTAAAGTTAAACTATTATCAATAATTTTACATAATAAAGTGTTCTATAATATGAAAGTAAGCAAACAAACACCTCTGTACTATTATATATGGAAACGATGTCTTACAGAAAGTTGTTTTACTTTAATGCGTATAAAAATCCTAGAGGGATCCTAGCCTTGAACAACTCATACTTTCGCAATTTCACTCACATTTGCCATAAACACCATGTGATTTATAATTAGATCGCGCTGCCATTTTTAGTGTCTATTAGCATCTGAACAATTCTATAAATACTTTTTTTCTAGCATCCATGGTGGGTGTTGTATACTAACACATATAACGTACCTTGAAATGAAGTTCAGTTGTGTAATATCGAATCAAGTGGTGTTACGTCATACACGTATTAACGATTACCGACTGAACGAATGTGACTGTATCCAGGAAAAACGGATTTAAACATTTTATCGAATTCTGTATCACTTTAATTTTCATGAATCCTATTCATTACTTATTTACTTACGCCTGTTGCCCCTCGTGGAGGAGCATAAGCCACACACCAGTATTCTCCATCCAACCCTGCCCTGAACAATTCTTACCAGTTATTCCCAGTTGTTATTCAGGCTTTTCACATCTGCTTCTACTTTCTGACGTAATGTGTTATTTGGCCTCCCCCTTTTCCACTGACCTTCAGGATTCCAAGTTGTGGCTTGCCCCATGATGCAGCTTGATGATTTCCTTTAAGTATGTCCAATCCCCTTCCAACGTCTTTTCCTAATTTCCTCTTCAGCTGGAAGCTAGTACCTTCTTGACGATCGTTGTAGTAGCTCTCCACGTTTCAGATCCGTACAATAGGGCTGTCCTGACGTTTGCACTGAAGATTCTCACTTTGAAATTAGTTGATAGTTATTTTGAGTTCCATATGCTCTTCAGTTGTAGGAATACTGTCCTTACTTTGTCGATCCTCGTTTTTACATCTGCATCAGATCCTCCTTGTTCACCAATAATGCTTCCTAGGTACGTGAAAGTTTCCACCTCTTCCAGAATTTCGCCATCAAGTGCGATTGAGTTGGTGTTCTCTGTGTTGTTTTTGAGAATCTTTCGTTTTCCGCCTGTAGCTCTTCTAGAGTGACTGCCGGTCTAAAGCCCGGGTAAAGGAGAAGGGTTGGGCATGAGGTTAGCGACCCCATCCAGTAGAAAACTAACCTGCCAAAAACGCTAATCAGAAAAAAAGGATCTTATTCCGTGATCATTATTTATTCGCTATTAAACATGACATGAAAAGAATGTGATTACAATATTATATTACATTTTTTGAGATATCTTAGTTACAGGAAAATGGTCATCTCAGTAAACATAGATCCTTCAACTGAGATATTCTTTTTTTGGTTAATGAAATAATTGGAAAAACATCAGTAGGTTCATTTAGTTTGTAATTCGATAAGAAATTGGATATGACTAAAATGTTAAATTCAGAAAGTAAAAGTCATAAGGCATATTATCTGCAACTACCTGATTTGATGAATTCAATATGCAAGTTGTTTTAAGAGAAAATATTTAAATCATACTTTATTAAATTGTAATAATCAATAGTCAATGAACCTGTTTTCTATAGATAAAAGCACTTGATACATTGAAATGGACAAACACTTATCGGGACTAAGTTCTAAAAAGGTAAATTCCAACCACTGAGGCTATTAAAATTAGTTCACAAACATCGCCTATTTCTAAGTAACCTACAAAATGAACACCATTAGACGGGTAGATCATTTTTTATTTCTACACTGTTCAAAATATTCAAATTACGTATACAACTGACTTTATGCTATCTGCATTTTTCTAGGTTATTACTTTTTATAACATTGACAAATTTGTGATACGATAGATAAATTCTGAAGAACATTTCACACTTGAAAATCACGAAAATCGTAAACTAGATAGAAACTTACTTCCTGATCCCTTTACATTTGTTATAAATAACAAGATATATATGTACAGCAGCATTATAGGTAATCCACTAGATTAAATGTTATAAAATTCAAGAATATATACCTGAAATGTACGTACATTTATCTATGTAAACAGTGACTAAGTCACTAATTAAATGACCAATTACAGAACAGATAGTATAATCAATCTAATTATATTTAAGAGATGACATAGAAACATATGTAATTCCACTCAAAACCGAACGCAACATTATCTGTACTTTGTGAAAAGAACTTTTGACCTGATGATAGTTTATTCGTAAAATACGGAAATTATGTTACTGATCTAAGTTAACAACATTGTTAATACTATTGATAATATGATAAGATAAATTTTTAAGTAAGTTACACAAGGGGGGGGGTAATATAAAGACAAACACTTTCAACAGTAACTGAAATTCGTTACATTGGGCGCACAACTAGGCAATTCCATCATTAAATTTCTGAGTATAATCATTCATAGTCAAGTAAAGAACGGAAGAGGATAATGAAAAAAATCTGTTTCTGCATACTGAATGTATGTTGTTAGAAGTTATTTTATTCTACTGAACTTGCTTTAGGCTAACAGACTTTAATTTTTATGTACAGCCAAAGTTATAAGGATCTACATAAATGGATTTGCTCTCTGTATTCAAAATAAATTTGAACGGATTATTTATTTATTCTGACCATCTGCCTAATTACAAACTTAAACTTTCAATTTCATTTTTAGTCTTAAAATTACACTTTTATTATATTAACTGATCAATTGTCTGACTATTGGATACATTTTATAGTCAACTCGTTATCTGGGGTTCATTGACCGGACACAATTTAGTTGGTACTGACTTTATGTTTAAATATAAAACATAAATATTAGTATAAAGCCGTGATGAGGACATAATGGAAACATATTTCTTTGTTTATTTTTAATTTTTTGTTGTCGGACTAACAATAATTAATTTATTATTATAATGATTGCAGCATTTAAATATAGTACTTTGTTGGTCTTCCGACGTTACAATGAATAATCAAATAAAGATGGAGTAATGAATGTTATTTTCACTGTGCAAAACTAAAATGGCTTTAACTTTTTAATTCATATATTTTGGTTATTTTGATCTTCCCATTTATGTTTAGGACTATAACTGATAGCACTTTTGGCGTTACGGCGTCCTGTGAGGATCACATCAACATCGCCAGTAAGCTCCAAGAATTTTTGAGCAGAAAGGGATGATGACTAGCACTTAGATACTGAGTCCAGATAGTGGATAACGCGATGGCGTTTGAAGCGAAAGGTATCAAGTTTCAGTCAGAGTGAGTATCAACTCCATGATGGAGGCACACCTAGCTGACGGACTGAAGCAGATACATTACGAATCAACGAGCACTTATCCCATGAAAGCTAAAACAGTTTAGAGACCCAAATGACTATTATTTAACGTATTAGTTTGTATATTTTGAATGAGTATTTGTTCAAAAAGTGATAATCAGTACCTTTATTTTATTTTAATCATAAGCAACAGTTGATTCAATAATCTTTGCTACGTTGTATGATCTATGAATTACAGTCATTTAGTTATTCACCTATTACTCAGCTTACAACAAATACATCACAGTTATATACTTATTGCGAAATATTTATTTATCCTAGGTGGTGAAATCACTTGTTAACACTTATTTGCTTTGGTTATATTCTGATGTCCGTCAGTAGTATATTTTTTTGTAGTTTATCGTTTGAGCGACAATTACAGTAACAAAGTTTTTGGATCTATTCTTGATAGTGTTGATAAAAAGCATAAAACAACTTCCTTAAGGAATAGCACACAGAAACAAGAGTGTGCATGCAATGAACAAATTTTTCACTTGAACTTAAACGAGAAACACACTAAATTAGTATTTTATCAGAAGTGTTCATTAAAAGACAATGATAAATGCAAAATTCATGAATAACCAGAAATATAAAAAGAACTACATTTAATTGATTAGTATACAAACTATTAGAGTCATCTCATCATCTTACCATAAAATTACACATAATCAATTAATTTATAAAGGATCTCTCATGCTAGCGAATAAGAACTATTGACATATAGTCATTTATTATATTACATGGTAACTTTTGTGTTAGTAACAAACGAAGGATGACAATGGGATGACACGCTTTTAAATCATTTAGTGTCTGAATAAATTTGAAATAAAGTCACAATATAATTAAACCAGAAAGTCAGTTTAATAAATATTTGATACATTGTCCAAATTACATTAACTAGGCCAAAAGAACTACTTTATATATATATATCCTTCGTTTGTTACTAACACAAAAGTTACCATGTAATATAATAAATGACTATATGTCAATAGTTCTTATTCGCTAGCATGAGAGATCCTTTATAAACAAATGTGTTCCAAAGTATAACAATATTTTGAATAACCAAGTGATGTAAGTTATTGAATTACATATTCAAAAGTCATGTACAATGAATCATTTAGTTAAACACATTTTAGTGGAATTATACGTTAATGTTTACTAAATTCTTTAATCAAGTGTCATTTTTGAAGATATAGGACTGATCAGTCAACTAATTTGTGTTAACAGTATCTGTAAACTTTAATTACCTAATATTGTTTCAAGTGCTACATATACTATGGTTTGCGAAAAATCAAGTTTCCAATAGCTGAAAGATTTGGCATTCGTTAGCAATAATCTAATCGTATATGTTACTTCCAGAATGTTTTCTTGGTGTATCATCATTGAAATTTAAATAAAAGTACATTTTTAAATTTCTTTTTTTCATACTTCCAATACTTTCTGTCGATAAACATCACCACTGTCATGAAAACTTTTGGTAGTGTTTTTAATAAAAGACGAATAATTTGAATACAATTACGCTTTTAATCGAAAATTTTAATAAAATTTATTCGTTTGTATAGCCAGCCTGTTCAAGTATTCGATACATTCATAACTATTAGAGTACGTTTGGACAAATTTAATATTCTTTATTTATTAAATACATTCAATGCTACTACTTCGATTACTTACTTACTTTACTTACGCCTATTACTCCCGATGGAGCATAGGCCGCCGACCAGCATTCGCCAACCCATTCTGTCCTGAGCCTTCCTTTCAAGTTCTGTCCAGTTTTTGTTCATTCGTCTAATATCTGTCTCCGTTTCTCAGGATAATGCGTTCTTTCGTCTTCCTCTTCTTTCGCCTTCAGGATTAAATGTGAGGGCTTGTCTTGTGACGCAGTCGGGTGATTTCCTTAAAGTGTGTCCTATCCACTTCCAGCGCTTCTTCCTGATTTCTTTCTCCGCTGGAATCTGGTTTGTTGTCTCCCACAGTAGGTTGTTGCTGATAGTGTCTGGCTAACGAATCCGAAGTATCTTACGTAGACAACTGTTAATAAACACTTGTATCTTCTGGATGATGGCCTTCGTAGTTCTCAACGTCTCCGCCCCATACAGTAGAACTGTCTTGACATTTGTATTGAAAATTCTGATCTCGGTGTTGGTTGACAATTGTTTTGAGTTCCAGATGTTCTTCACTTGTAAATATGCTGCTCTTGCTTTGCCGATGCTCGCCCTCACCTCTGCATCTAATCCACTGCGTTCATCAATGATGCTACCCAGATATGTAAAGGTTTCCACATCCTCCAAAGCTTCTCTGTCAAGCGTAATTCGATAAGTGCATGCTGTATTGTATCGGAGAGTCCTGAGAGGATGTTTTGAATCGATTTGACGAGTGGCTGAAAAACAAACATTACTCTCTAACTACCTTTAGGTAACAGCGTACAAATGACCAGTCACTGCGTATCACCAATAAATTGATGTCGATACAGGAAATAACATATGTTCTTGTAAAGTTCCATATTTCCCGAAAGCAAGTTAGTTACAAAGGGCTAATAATTGTCTCTTTATACTAGCCCTCTTTATGTAAACGGAAGGCAATCCAAAGCGTATCCTGGTTTAACAACTTTATATTCTTCCTTTTTTACGAATAGGATAGAGCTTTTTCAGGTCATCCATTCTCCGATGAAATTGTAACCTGTCTGTCAGGACTAATGTTTGACTTTCACATTGTGTAAGTGTCGTGCTACTGTTGTTGACGAGAAATTCCTCGTTTACTACTTGTATTCATAATCATTTATGTTAATAAGCAGTTTTGGCTTATGGTAAGGTTGGGAATTTTAGCTTCTATAAATTATGTTTATAGTGGTGTAATTCAATGAAGTCTCCCGAACCATTTGTTGTATTGACTGAATTAATGTTTAAGTTAGTTAAGTTGTTGAGACACTTGACTTTTGAAAAGCAGACCGTTATTCCGAATTTCGTTTGACCTACGTTGGTTCAGGCTACATTTATATATTTATATATGTGTGTTAATTATTTTGTATTTTGGGTGGTCATAAAGTTATATATTGGTGAGGGGACTGTATTTTTCTGACCCATTTTGTCGGATTTGTCTCTTTTACTTTTCTAGTGGTCGCTGATTCTTGGATTTTAAAGGTTTTCTGGCTTAATATTACCTTTGATTAGCGTAATGTGATGCTTACGTCAGTCAAGAGGTTGATAAACGATTTCTGAATACTAGATCGCTGTGTGTAGACTGCAGCACCACGTTGAAATGTTTCTAGTGTATAATTATTTGGTACATAGTATGGACCCTTACCTAGCCGTGATCTTATTTTGTGTATATCTCTGCTCTGCTCCGTTGTTTCTCTGCACATTCATCTCAGTTCATATGAATTTCTTATCGTTATCCTAATTATACTTCATGTTTGTACTACTTGATTAATATTATTCCGAATTATTTCCGGCGTAACATTTCTCCCACCATGCATCATCACGTGACCTGTTTTATTATATTGATTTTATCTTCATTCTTCACGACGAAATTTCATACCCCTTTTTTAAACGACCTTTATCAAATTTACCAATAATATAGTCTTGACGCGTCTGAGCCCCAGTCGATGTTAATGTTCATACATATAATTTATTTTAGCCGTTGTAATATAGTGGTTATGGATTTATAATTGCGAATGAAAACAATGGTTCACTCAAATATTCCCTATTTAAGAGAACT